TTCAGTGTAACTGTAACATTAGAAATTATCCTCTAAAGGTATCAGACTTGCAGAAGACATATTCCAGTGGCTCCCTAATTGGAAATATTTTAAACAAACCAAAATAATAACATCACCATTGAGAACATAGTGACAAGTGACAACAGGTTCCAATCTGGTCAATATGATAACATGGTAATATAACAGATTCCAGTAAGAAAAAAATTTCATGCATGATTCCTAAAATAAATATAACTGTAGAGTTAGAAATATTTTCCTGCTCTGTTCAACAGATGTTAGGTCTAACTTAGTATCCTATTATAATTCTGCTGGTCTCTTGCTTTGTTTGTTAGTTTGCATGACCATTACGTCCTGCCAATACCTCATAAATAATGGACTATCCTATTTTCATCATGATAATACAGAAGTATCATATCAGAGATGCCATCTGGTTTCAGTGAGAAAATGAAAGAAAGAAAGGGAAGATAAAAAAGTTTAACATCTTCTGCCAATACCTCATAATTAACTATTCCATTTTGATTGTGTGGAAAGACATATCAAAGATGCTACTTGGTTTCAGAAAGAAAGAAGGGAAGTTAGAAGTGTTTAAAGTCTGTTTCAGGGAAATGGAAAAGTTCTGAATTTTGTTAAAGTTATTAACCTCAAATATTTAACGATATGATAGGGGAATTTCATTGGATATTTTATTCTTGTAGAGCTCACCATGAGCTTATTCAGTCATTAGATGAAGAATTAAGATTCATCAGGAATTTAAAATAGAAAAACCATACCCTTCTTTCATTAGTTAGTTTCTTAGTTACATGATCGTTATGCTTTGCCATTACTATTATATTACGGAATCTGCTATCAAAAAATCAAGGAGATATAACTAAAAAAAGATATAATTGTAATTATAATATAAAGTTCTCATTTAAAATTTTTACATTCCTTGGAATTAAGAAACCTCAAAACTATTAATTTCAATGAAAAACAGCAAAACCGTGGAATTCCATGGATACCGCTAGTAATCAGAATTCTTTATCTCAAAAATCCAAAATCATGAAAGCAACTTTTTCAGAAAGAGACAGCTGAAATTTCTGAGACAGTGTATGGAAGAAAATGGCAACATACCCCAAAGGCCAAAATTCTTTTGTTGTCACATGCTGTTTTTGCAGAACGAAAGCAAAAAGTCTCTCCACTGAATGAAAGTCAGTGAGTTCATGTAAATGAGCTCATGTTAACCAATCATGGTTCAAGTGTCACTGAGTGAAACAGATTACATAGAAAAATATGCATATCCATTTCCATACTCCATGTAAAGGGTCCAATAAACTGCTATATAAGAGTAACTGGTTTTCCTTGGCAGAACCTATCTTGCTCCTTTATAAGTTAACCATTTGTCTGTGCATTGAATATTGTAGCCACATCTGGATTGGTGCTTCTGTATCTAGAGATACTTGATGAAATCCAAAAAAGAATCTGCAATGGTCCTGATTTGCTATCTCAGTGAAGCTGAGATAGCAAATCAGGATAGCAAAGATAATAAAAATCCACACCCAAAAAATAAAAAGCTAATATTTCTAAAAAAAAAACCACAACAACTTTGAAGAAGATCTTACTAAAATTCTATCAGCTTGTCTACAAAGAGAACAAACCTACTGGTCAAATACAGTGCAGTCACTACCCATTTGGATTACATCCAAGGGCCTAGTATATCTGAAGCAGCAAGTATCATACACTAAGTATAACCATTCTCTGGAGTGGGAGGGTAGAAATTCTTTATGTCAATCTGGAGTATGCCAATGTGATGTACCTTGATGGGTAGATGAATACTGCTTTATCATGCACCTGAACCAATGTCAGAAGGCTTTGCAAGAATACCAAAAAAACTTTTCTTATAGGGATCAAATGGGAGAGCTAAGATCCAGGATCCAGTGCATAATTTTGGATCCTCCTTGCCCAAGATGGGATGTTTGATTCTTTACTGGTTCAAGATTCAACCTACTAGAGAATCTTTGTGATATAGCTCAAGGATTAGACGTCCACCTACTTATCTTCAAGATTTCACTACCTGATTACTTTGGGGGAGGATGAATGTGATAAAATTGTACTCTGAAATAGAAGAGATTATCTCACCAAGTTCCATAATTATTTAGAAAATATTAAGTTCTGTTTCTTTTTTGTATTTATCTGACAAGTCAATCCAAGATAAAGTTGACTTTAAACCAAGGGAGAATTTGACTTGACAATGAAATAATTTTGGGACTTCATGAAATGACAGTCTATAGAGGCAGTAATTTTAGTCTTTCACATTGTATATTTCTTACAGACAATTTATATTTATTCAGAGACTCAAAGACAAAATTCCTTGTTTCTTATTTTTACTTAATATGTTCTACACTATAAGATGCTAATTAACATTTTCATTTTATAACATCCACTCTCTGAGATTACTACATTCCTGTTATGTGCCATGTCCCTTCAGGACATTGGTGATTATGGATCACCGCAATTTTCTGTCCTTCATAGCTCTTAATAACTTTTGTCTTTTTGCCAACTCTCCCAAATCTTGATCCACCATCAATTTGCTCAAGCTTGCTAGGTTGTGCATTGCTTTCTTCTGGTCTGTTTACCTTCCTTAAGTCCTGTGAGTATCAAATTTCCCAAGCCCTCTTTCCTTATTATGTGCCCCAGAAATTTCAACTAGCTCTTTCTGATGTTAAGCATAAGTGTCCTTTTTGTTGCCATTGTCATTGCTTTCATGTTCAGTACATAGAATTCTCAGCATCCTTTTGTAGAACCATATTTCTGTTGTTTCAAGTCTCTACTTCATCTTTGAGGAGTTTGTCCCACATTCACTGTCATATAGGATGGATTTTGGAAATGGAAGAGGCTCCCAGTGACTTTACTGAGCAATCCAGGAATGTGAAGATTATATGTCAGCTCATTTCAGGAGATAAACATGGCAAGAAATCTACACAAACGTCATCAAATCAAATTCAGAAATTTCAATATAAAGATTAACTATTCTGATTTTGGTTCTAAATTCAAATAAAGATGGCTGGAGCCTACAATGGTTGAAATGTTGTGAATGTGGCAATAAAGGTGAAAACAACAGACTGAACAATGAAGTGTAATAGTGCAAAATGATATTTTTCTGTTTCTTAATACTTTGTTTAGTTTTTGGACACACTGCAAAGTCAAAACTTTAGCCTGAAAACACAAGTGATTTAAGATACTTGAATGGCCTGGTCAGATTGATATTTTTATATGGATGTCATGCCTGATGCTAAATCTATTCAGAATATCTAAACTGTCAGCTGTATACAATTGCTTTCTCAAGTCAATGATTAAAAATGGCTTCAAGTCAATGAAGCATGTTGGCCTTAACAAAGACCATACATTTTTTAATCTTGTGGACTACTATGACAAAATCACAAATATTCAAATGCAATGTCAATCAACATCTCCAGATGCTTTGATCTATTTTCCGTCCTTCTCTTCATCCTTTCCTTTATCACACCCCTTTACTCTTGCTCACACTCTCTGTAACCCCTTGCATGCTAGTTGCACTCCCACCTCATTTGGGGTGAAATATTTAAAAAAAAAAAAACAAAAAAAAAACAACAACCATAGAACAGTACCGAATATAAGAAAACTCATCTGAAGAATATAAGATGACTTTCTGTAATAGCTAAAATGGGAGCACATGTGACTCAAAGAGAAAATAACGACATAATCAAGATTTTTACATTTCACACTACATCAAATAAAAGTTTAGGAAGGAAGCATCAATACTGGAAAGAGCAATAACAGTTAGTGGACTTGAGAAAACTATTTTCCTGAAAAACTTTTGAAAGAAAGATTTCATATATTTCAACTGATGGTAGCACTGGTTGCTTGGTCAATTAATGCTAAATATTTCTTTATAATGACTAATATTACCATTACAATGTTTTCATTTTGTTATCTGCACAATGCTTTAACTAATATCTATTTAAAATGTTAACTTTTTTTTTTTTTTACTAAACATCATCCAATACAAGATGTAAGAATCTCTCAAAGTAGATCATTTCAGTTAGAATGGTAATGATGAGTGAAGGGTGTGGAATGAGGGGGAAGAGGAAGTGGTAGGAAGTGAAGATTATGAGTCTAAGAAGGATAAATAATAAGTGACCTTGGGATTGAAGATATCAAGATGAAGTCTTACAGGGAATCCGTCATATGTTCCATAAAGTGGTAGGTCTTGGGAAAAAGCCATCAGAGTAGAACATCCTTCTTATATTTGGAACATGAAGGAAATGAGAGTAATTCAACTCCATGGAAATAGTGTGGCATATCCTGCTAGTAAAGGTCTGAACTGGTGGAACTAAAGAATGCAGCTCTTCTGAACATTTTTCATGGAAATAGTGATAGAGTAGTGACAGACTTGTAATGTTGCATCTCTGGAAAAGAAGTTTCAGAGTGGAAAATAACTCAAAACACGCAAAACTACATTAATGATTTTGAGTTCTATCAAGGCCAGAAGTCAAGTTAATTCATTAAGAATTTAAAATTTTACATAGCAGTGAAGACTTTAAAATCAGATATTTGGTATATAGTGTTACAATTTTATTTATTGAAATTTAAAAAATATATATTCATTGAGGATTTAATATTAAAGCTGGAAGTAATTTTCATTTCATGTATTGATTAGCTTTTGAAAATTCTAAATACATAAATCTGGAGTAATTTGTTATAACTGCCAATATTTAACAATAAGTTTTATATTAATTTTTTCTGATCCTAATACCATGTCTGAGACATATTTAAAATGAATATTTCATACAGTTATTAAAAATTTAAATTTTTAGCAATGCAAAAATCAAATTGCTGGTAATAATAATTTTTTAAAAAATGTCAAAAATAAAAATATAGAATGAAGTTTGCTAAGGATATCATCTAGAGACAACAACCATTAATATTTAAAATAGTACTTTTCCATGCAACTTTTTATAAAGATTTAAAAAGCAATACATTTCTTAATGGGCATTCAAAGTTGTGAAATTGGGAATAGTGTCAGATGTTAGACAGAAGGAGAGGTTAAAAAGATAAAGAAAAGGAGTTTGGAAAAGAGGGAGAGAAAGAGAATAAGCAAACAAGACAAGGAGAAGAAAGTGAGGCTGAAAGAAAGATAAAGCTGGATGAAAATGAAAGAAGGTTGAAAAGGCACCTTGAAAAAGGAGTGTCAGAAAAGTGAGAGAAATGGTGATAGGAAAACAGAAAGATAGACAGAAAAAGAGATAAAGAGGGTTACAAAAGGAAGAATGAAAAGGAATACTAGTAAAGAGAGAGGGATAGGGGTATGTTGAGAGAGAGAAAGAGAAAAAGAGGTTAGAAAAGAGAGAAAGAAAGTGGGAGGGTTGAGAGAGAGAAAGTGGGAGGGTTGAGAGAGAGAAAGTGGGAGGGTTGAGAGAGAGAAAGTGGGAGGGTTGAGAGAGAGAAAGTGGGAGGGTTGAGAGAGAGAAAGTGGGAGGGTTGAGAGAGAGAAAGTGGGAGGGTTGAGAGAGAGAAAGTGGGAGGGTTGAGAGAGAGAAAGTGGGAGGGTTGAAAGAGAGAAAGTGGGAGGGAGAGAGAGAAAGTGGGAGGTTGAGAGAGAAAGTGGGAGGGTTGAGAGAGGAAAGGGAGGGTTGAGAGAAAGTGGGAGGGTTGAAAGAGAGAAAGTGGGAGGGTTGAAAGAGAGAAAGTGGGAGGGTTGAAAGAGAAAATAGGAGGTTGGAAAAAAACAAAGAAGGATGGTTGAAAAAAGAGAAAAGAAGAGGTTTCAAAAAAGAGAAAGTAGGAGGTTTGAAAAAGTGAAAAAGAAGGAGCATTAAAATGAGAGAGTATCGAGAAAGTGAGAAAGAAAAGAAGTGGAAGTAAAAAAAAGAGAGAAAGAAGAAAGGTTAAAAAAGAGAAAGAAGAAGAATTGAAAAAAAAAGAGAAGGAAAGAGGATTGAAAAGAGATAAAGGAGAAAGGTTGAAAATAGAGAAAGGTGCTGAAAAGGGAAGGGTCAATAAAGAGAGAAGGGAGGAGGGTCAAAAAAAGGAGAAGGGAGGAAGGTCGAAAAAGAGAGAAGGGAGGGTTGAAAAAGAGGAAAAGAAGAAAGGTTGAAAAGAGACAAAATAGGAGGTTTGTTAAAAGAGAGAAAAAATTGTAGGTTGAAAACAAGAAAGAGAAAATATTTTGTCAAAGATTACTCATGTTGGCATTCTTTATAACCTAAAAAAATAACAATAAAAAAAAAAAGGAAATTTTAAGCCACTGTCAACAAGAATGTGTAAAGATACCATTACTCATTTATCAATGAATAAAACTGAAATCAACGTAAGCATTCTTCATGTCATGTTAGGTGCCAGACAAGTTGCCATAAAGATGATTTAGTCTACATTATATCCATTTATATCATCTGTTGACTCAACATCCATAATAATAATGAATATTTTTGTCTGTGTTAATTTTTCTGATCTGGCTTATTGAATTTGGACAAGAAACTCATATGTCAAGATGAATATAAAGTGATTTTCCATCTATGTTGGTGCCATGGAGATACTGGCAAGGTAGGCAGTGCCATGGAGATACCGGCAAGGTAGGCAGTGCCATGGAGATACCGGCAAGGTAGGCAGTGCCATGGAGATACCGGCAAGGTAGGCAGTGCCATGGAGATACCGGCAAGGTAGGCAGTGCCATGGAGATACCATGGCAAGGTAGGCGGTGCCATGGAGATACCGGCAAGGTAGGCAGTGCCATGGAGATACCGGCAAGGTAGGCAGTGCCATGGAGATACTGGCAAGGTAGGCAGTGCCATGGAGATACTGGCAAGGTAGGCAGTGCCATGGAGATACTGGCAAGGTAGGCAGTGCCATGGAGATACTGGCAAGGTAGGCAGTGCCATGTTCCTTCAGGATGTCAGAGAGCATAGCACTTTACAACTTCCTGTCCTTTATAGCTCATAATAATGTTTACTTTTTTACTATGCCATCCATTTTCAGTTCCACCATTTCAGACTTTAACAGTGAGGAAATACCATGCAACCTCCACAGAGTCAGATCACCCTCATTTCCTCCATATTCCAATTGTAAGGAGACATTTCTAATTGAACAGCTTTTTTCGAAGAACTGCCAATTTATGGAACAGACTCCTGCATGGTTGCTTTCTTGAACATTACAATCTTCACTTCTCTGAACACTATAACCTTCAATCAAGGTTCATCAATATCTCTCCTCCTTGATCTCATAATCTTCACTTTCAAACACCTCCTTTTACATTCATAAATCTACCATTCATCCATACTTAAAATATTGCTGCCACATACAGTCTGGTGCCCCTGCTATTTACCTTGAGTGCCTTGATAAGATCCAAAGAAGAATCTGCAATATTATTGGTCCTGATCTGGTTGCGTGTCTTCAGTCAATTTCCCACTGCTGTAAGGTTGCTTCTCTGTACCATTTCTATAAATACTTCCATGATAATTGTTCAGATGAGCTCTTCACTGTAGTACCTAGACTTTATGAATTTAAGTGCAATACTAGACTGGCATTACTAATGTTTCTGTTCCTAATTCCTTCACACCCTGTAAACCCTTGCATGTTAGATGTAGCTGAAACTTTAATCTGCAAAAATTTAAATGCAATGTCAATCAATATCTACTGTCCTATTTACTCTTTTCTCTTTTTGCTCATTATTAATGTTTCCATTCCTAATTCTTCTACACCCTTTAACCCCTTGTGTCTGAGTGGTTTTACTGCCTTGCCTTGGGTGATATCTATTAAAATAAATATCACACAACTCATTCCTCATAACCACTTTAGCAGTAATGCTCTACCATGAGTGACTCTTGTGCTTTGTATTGGGTGAACTTTAGTACTAAAAAATATTAGCAGATCAGAAACTTCACGTCAGGACAAGCCCAATTAAACCATAATTTATAGACGATAAATCTAGTTATCTAACAAAAAACATTTTAATCTTTATTTTTTCTACATAAATATTTAAGTGAATATTTATTTTTAAAAAACTTATCTGAATATTGCATAAATTAATTAAAAGAAATATTTAAAAATATTTTCTTAACAACAAGTCTATTAGTTTAAGGCTCTAAGTTCATTACAGTGGCTTGTCCTATGGCCGAGTGGATTAAAGTATTGATTCATAAATTTGGTTTATATAGTGATTGTGAGTTCAATCCCTGGGCTGGGTGGCATGTACTTGGAGTCATGGGAAAATGGGTGAGCAATAACTGTCCAGTACTAAAAATAAGAACTAGACATGTGCAATCTACACCCATAGATTAAATGAAGGGTTTATTTCAGATTTCCCTGTAGGTTACCCAGATCGATATTACACCTGAGGAAGACCAGTGGGTAAAACAGCTGAAACATGGTAACAACAATAAAGATGAAGACAATAGTCTAAATATAAACAGTATAAATATTGATAATCCCAGAACTTCAGACAGAAAGAAATCTATTATTGTCAATTTACTTTATGAAAGCTGACTTACTGCTTACTCTATGTAAATATTCTGAGCATATGTACCAATGCTATTTCAGTTGGAGCAACATGTGAGAAACCTTCCTCATGTCTACTGCACACTTCAAATTATAAACCCATCATTTCTGATGTTACAGGTGTCAGTATGTGTTGTCATTCCTTCATTAAGTGCAATCTCAACAAATTGGATCTTGTGCCAATAACGTGTTCTTGAGAATATGTCATTTGAGATATCATTTAATTATATCTCAAGTCAAATGGTGAAACCATACAAACAGTGAGTTGATAGCTGTTAAACATCAACACAATTTTCAAGAAATTTGTCAACAAATAATTTTAAATATTCTGCTAATAAGAACTTTTGACAGTAATTTAAGACAAATAGACTTATTTTGTTTCACTCATCTGTCTTCTCATTAGAAAAAGAAAACTAAAAAGTCTCATGATGTAATCAGGTTCAACTTTGTCTGTTACAGCCTAAACTGTAAAAATAAATTATATTATAATCTTGCTTGTTCCTCCATTACATCCTGCCATTATCACAGATAAATAATGGAGGTCTGCATTTTGATTGTGAGGAAAAAGAAATGAAAGAAAGAATTTTTCAGTGATGCCGTTTGATTTTAGTGAGAAAAGGAAAGAAAGAAAAAGAACAGGAAAGAAAAAAAGGGCAGATAGAGGAGGCAATAATGTTTTCACATGCTTAACATCGGCTTCAGTGAAATGTAAAACCCATTTTGAATCTTTTCATTTGTACCCTCTTACTTCTTTAAATAATGACTTGCATTCATACTTATGATTGTTATTGCAATATTTTGTTAATGGTGTTAAGCTCAAATATTTAATGTGCTGTGTTCATAAAGAAATACATAAATAAAAATTAATTATACTGTTACTGTGCCATGCCCATAAAAAAGTAAATATAAATTAATTATAGTGCAAAAAATAATTATAACAATTATAATTATCATTAATTCACTCATTCTAAACCAATGAGAATCAATCACACTTTTCTCCTCTACGCACACACACGACATTCTCACTATCAGACAAGTAGTTCACATGGTCAGGTCATTAACACGTGTATCAATGAAAATTTTGGCCCTTTTTCCTTTTCAGGCCATAATTGTAACATTGATCACTTAGCCCCCAACAAAAATTTCAGGTAAGAAAACCACAAACACTTTTTGTATTTTCCAACTAAATTATCTGAACACTCTTACACACAACTATAAAAAGTATACATGGAAGACTGTATAGTTTATATATATATCATTCTTTATTTTATCTGTTGGATTTGATCTACATTTGATCCCAAACTCATAATTTTGCTCAGTATAATTGACTTTCATGTCTGCAGCACCACATAACAAGGAGATAATAAATAATACTCGTTTTGTTGCTTCCATGTTTTGCTGTTTCTCCTTTTTACAAGTATTTTTGTATATGTAAATTTAAGGAGGTTTATAATTATTTACTCAGTTATAACACCACTACAAATGCCACAGGAGAATTTCTAGAGGTATTTTATAATGGTGAAAACTCACAAGAAGCTTACTTAATCCTTAAGAATTGTTATTCATCAGAAAATTCAAATAGGAAAATTTTCCTAGGTACTACTAGTTATAATAATAATAATAATGCCTATTTGTGTCCAATTGATGGAATATTAAGCTAATAGAAGAAATGTCTAATCTATCAACAATTTTGTTATTTTCTAATTTTTTACATCATGACTTTATTTTCATTACTAAACTACTTTTTTATTACAAACTGAATTTTTATCAGACTTCTGCAGAATGGTTGATTAGTTGAATACAACTTCTTTTTACCTTTTTTCTTTTAAAATAATCTTGGTCAGTTAAACAAAGTAAAACTGGCAACTGCTCTTGAAAAGCACCACGAATCAGTGGTTCACTGGGGCAAGGAATGGCTTGTAAATTTGAATGCCTCAAAAACAAACCTTCTTTCATTTAATCACCATAGAGAAACCTTTTCTGCCCGACATCAGCATGGCTGATGCTAACCTCCAGGAGAGCAACTCTTTGAGTCTTCTAGGTTCACATCTTTTACTGACATGAAGTGGAGTGATAATATTGAATCACTTGCTAGGTCTACTGTTAGGAATGTTGGTTCACTGTGTCATGTGAGAAAATTTTTTCTTACCAGCATCTACCATTCATCTGTGCATTGAATATTGCTGTCATATCTGGTCTGGTGTTTCTGCTATATATCTCAAGATTCTTGACAAAATTCAAAGAAGGGTCTTTAATGTAATGCAATCCTGACTTGGCATTTACTGCAGTTACTTTTTCACTGATGTGGTTTCCTTCTGTCTTT